CACTGACTCTAGCTGTCCGGCACCCGGGGGCAGTAGGCACGTCCTGTCATCAGAGGAGAAAGGTGGTCACCAGGGCCCTGCCCGGAGAGGGCTTGTCAGAGGGATGCAGGTAAACAGGAAATGAATGAGGCCAACCGGGAACCTGGAGTGTTGTTATCTTAGGCTGACACCCAGGATGCAGTCTTGGGCTCTGGGCCACACCTGGGACATTCCAAGGGCTCCGGACTGAGCCGTGTGACACTGGGCGGAGGCAGGCCCTCTCTGGGCAGGTTCTGAGAGACCACGCTAGCTGTTGACTGGAGCCCAGCTTAGAGGGAATGAGGGAAGAGGCCTCTAGGGAGCAGGGGGAGCGTTGGCCCAGACCCGCCTCTGTCCCCAGAGACCCTGGAAGACTCGGAGGTTAGGAGCCAAGTCCCTGGGGGACAGGGTCACTTGTGATTGCTCCCTCCACTTGCTGAGGCTGGCAGCAGAATGAGAGGAGCACTGGATGGAGAGTCCGCACACAACTCTGCCGCTGCCCGGGGCTGTGTCCCCAACTACGCATGACAGGGCCCAAGGTGGGGGGGGGGGGGTACAAAGCCTGGTTTCTAATGTTGGCTGTGTGACATTGGTCAAGTAACTCAGGCCCTGGGGCCTCAGCTTCCACATCTGTAAAATGGGTGGGAAGGTGACCACAGCACCTACCTCCTAGAGTTAATAAGAGGATTAAAGAGTGACTAATATGTAAAACCTTTAACAGCACCTGGCACAGTGTTCAGCCAATGTCAGCTACTCGCCCTTGTTATGACTAATGAAGCAGCAGTGAGTCTGTGTGCCTCCTTCTCAGGAGCCAGGCTGCAGCCTCACCTCATTCAGAGCCTGAGGGGGTGATGGGTCTTCAGGTTGGGGAGGAGGAGCACTGTGCCTGGAGGACTCACGGCCAAGGCCAGCGCTGCCCAGAGGAGCGATGGGGTCTGGGACCTCCCCCGCTTACCTCCACAAACAGCAGCCTCACTCAGGGCCTAGCAGGGGGCTGGACCACTCCACCTCGCCACTTGGGGGAGGCGCCAGGGTCCGCAGATGGTGGCCCAGGCTGTGGGTGCTGAGGTCGGTGGGAGGGGCCCACCTCCCAGGCCCCGCCTGGGTCTCAGTCAGGTGGGGAGGGGCAGGGACGAGCACAGAGGAGCCCCTGGACGCGGAGGCAAAGGCTGCTGCAACCCATCCCCTGGCTTCAGGCCAGAGGGACCAGCAGGTCTGTGCTCTCGCTGGGCAGGGCCACAGCAGTGCCTCTCTGAGGGTCCTGCCTCCCCTGGACTCTAGACTTAGGTCAGCCCCATCTGAACAAAGGCCTGGACACTCAGCCTCCCAGGTTCACTTCCCAGCAGCCCAGTGAGGAGTCTGGCTGGGATGGTCCCCACGGGCCACCTGCTTGCCCGTGGAGACCCACGGGGGTCTCCATCAGTTATTTCCTGGAGAGGCCGGCAGCCCGCAGTAGGGGGCAGGGGGACCCTGGGCCAAGCTGAGACTTTCTGCGGGTATAGCCAGGGGCTTCAGCAGTTCGGGTGCTGGCAGGTGTTAGGGCTAGGCAGCTCGTGTTCAAATCTGGCTTCCCCCTCCCTGGCAGGGTGATATATCAACTAAGATATTTAAGCTCTGGGCACCTCAGTTTCCCCATCTGTAAAAGGGGAGGACGAGGGCCGTTTTGAGGATTGAATGAGTTCAGGCGTGCACGTTCTTATGACAAAGCCACACCCCATGGAGGGTTAACTGTGCTTTCCAGGGTTAGATGAGCCACAGGGTCTGGGCCCCTCGCCACCCCCTCTCAGGGCAGAGGTAGGGGGAGTTGGAAAGCGTGGTGGTGGTTGTGGTTTAGTCGCTAAGTCGTGTCCGACCATTGTGACCCCATGGACTGTGTAGCCTCCAGGCTCCTCTGTCCATGGGATTCTCTGGGCAAGAATCCCTAAAGCTTTTCTCTGCAGCCCCGTACTCCACAATGAGCCTCATCGAGCAGCTGGGAGACCCTGACAGGCTTCTGCCTGCACGGTTTTCTCTGCCAGGCACACCACCCAGAGTAGTGCCAACTGCACTCTCAGGACAGCACCCGGGTTGGGTTGGGATGCCCCATCCGGAGCCCTCTCGGCAGCCCCCTCCCGGACGTGGGCCATATCCGTCCTCACTGCCCAGTGACCACCCCTCTGCTTCTCCTCCCTGCCCCCCATCAGAGGCTGAGCCCAGCCGCACTCATGCCCCCGGACAGGCCTGGCATGAGCCCAGGCTGGGGCCATCCGTGGGCCAAGCAACTTCCAGCTGTGAGCAGGAGGGCAACTGCAGGCCCCGGGCCCCTTCTCCCACCCCACCCCCAGCTTCCAGGCCGGGGCGAGTCAGAGAAAAGAGGCGGGAAGGAGGGTTTGTAAACAGTCACGTTGTTGGCACAGCCCTGGGTGACAGAGCATCAGTAGTCTCGCTGGGTCCATGGCCTGGCCGGCCCCTGGAGTGGGGCCGGAGGAAGCAGAAGGTTCCCTGGGATTTCACTGAGGGGCTGGGGTGGGGGGTGGGGATGAGAGAGGTGGCCCTGGCACAGGCTTGAAAGTGGAGGGACCCGAAGCCTCACCAGCGACCGTGGTGCCTGGATTGGCTGGGCCCAGGAGGCTTCTCCCTGAAGTCACCTAGTGCCCCCTGCCTGCCCTCCCCAGGGCAGCCTGACTCCCATCGCCCACAGGTCACCCATCTGATGACTTCCCTTGTCCCCACTAGATGCCTTCAGGTTCTCCTCCACAACTCTGACTGCCAGGCCACCGGTCCACATCCTTTGGGTCGCATTTCTCAGACCATGGTCCAGCTGGTCTTCGGGCCTTCCACTCCCCTGCTGAGCAGGGCAGTTCTGGTCCCCTCCCTCCATCCACCACCAGACCTCTGTTAATGCAGCCAGTGGTCAGGTCCACCCTTGAAGGGCAGCTGCCCTCGGTGCTCAGGGTTGTGCTCCTGGCCCACTGCTTGAGATGCTTGGAGGTAAGATCACCTCCACCCAGAACCACGGCGCCCACAGGGACCACACCGACCCCCACCACACACTCTGCCGCTTCCGGGTAGACGCCCGGGCAGAAACACACAGGGAACACGTGCGCACCGCACACGCCCCCCACGCATCCACAGGACAGCGTCGCAGATGGGTCACCCCAGGCAACCGCCACACGTTCCGCTCCACCCTCGGACCCCGGCGCACGCACCAGGCGCGCGCCCTGGCTGGAGGGGCCTCCCGGGCTCCGGCCGGACGATGCTCGCCTACAGATCGGGGTCCTCGCGGCTGCACACGACGCCGGCGTCCTCCTGGTGGCCGCAGTTGTGCGAGCCCAGGCCGGCGTGCGCGCACTCCAGCAGGTTCCGCTCGCTGCCCGTGCAGCGCACGTCGTCCAGCAGGATGGGTAGCGTGCGGCCCTCGCCGAATTCGGCGCGCTTGGTGGCCCGCGCCGCGTACCGGAAGCCCAGCTGGCGGCACACGACGGCCGCCGCCTTGGTGTCCCAGGCGTCGTCGCACACGGTGCCCCAGCGTCCCCCCGCGAACACCTCCACGCGCCCGCGGCCCGGGCTCAGGCCCGCCGGCCGCACCCCCCCCGGCCGCCCCAGCCTACTTCCGGCCTCCATCCCGAAGGCAGACCCCAGAGAAAGATGTCCTGGTTCTGCCCTCTGCTCAGATCCTGAGAATGAGGTCCCCAACAGTGCTTCTGGGGTCACCCTGACCCCACAGGTGCCAACCTGGAGCTGGGGCTAGGTGCTTCTCGGGTCATTCTGCAAACCCTGCTGCTGCCTTCACTGCCCAGGCCGCCTTCCCCCACCTCTGGACTCACCGTCCTCCCCACCCAGGCTCAACCCTCATCGGTTCCAGGCCCTTCCCGGCCCGCCCCCACCCCCTCCAGCTCCTCAAGGCTCTGGGTCCCAGTGGCACCCCGCACAATTTCTCCCATGGGGCCTGGGATACTAAATGACTTCTCTGTCTGCCCCAGCCGGGACAGGGCCTGGTCTGACTTCTCCTGGAGCCCGGGCATCCAGCACAGAGCTGGGACCTCACAGAAGAGCAGAAAACTGCCTCATGAGTGAGTGGAAAAGGGCCAAGGTTTGAAACCAACTGTGGCTAGAATTAACTCCCACCCTGAATACCCAGCTCCCCCCTTCCCCCAAACTTCTTCTCCACGTGGTGGGGCACCCCTTTTCAGGGCCAGGCACCCCCACCCGCCCTGCTGCCCAGTCTCCCCCTCTTCCTGCCCCCTCACCCCCAACTCCAGTCTGCCAACTGGAGACCTGCTGGGCACACTCAGCCCACTAAAGTATTTCCTTTGGCCCGCCGGGCGGCTTTTAAAATTATGAGCTGGTTGCCAGTGTTTTCAAATCAGGAGATTGTACAATAACAACCCAAGAAGGCAGGGAGCATATCTGCTTGCTCAGCGTTAAAGCCCCAGATTGAAGCACATACATGTGCTGGATGGACGCAAGCATGCGTATCCTGCTTGTCTTGAGAACTGGAAGGTCTGACTACACGGGGTCTGTCTCCATTCCCACGTAGCTTGAGCCCAGTGGAACAGCCCCTCCTCGGGGCATACCCTCTTCAGAGGGCCCCAGATCCCACGGGCGGTCACTGTGGCCTTTCCTGGTCCCTCTGGAGGATTGGCACCCCTTCCCTCCCCACGAAGCTTGTCAGAAACAGAACTGGCTTAATAGCAGACGTGGCCCAGTCGTCCCCTCCACCAGGTGCCCTTGCACCGAGAATAACTCTTTCCACTCTCGCTCAGATATAGACCTACCCCCTTTCTCTGTCCCTCCCTAGAACTCTGAGTGAGCCTTGCCTGGGACCCCCTATTTCTCCCTTTGTCACGGTGGTTCTGACCGCCTGCAGCCCCTCGGAGCCACTTACCGTGGCCTGGGACTGACACGCACCAGGGGAAGGGAGTCTCAGGAGTTCCGTGCCCTCCGAGCGTCTGCTGTGCCCCAGGCACAGTGCTGCGCACAGTGAGGGAGGGCACCCAGACCCAGCTAGGAGCATGCACATCTGGGGGGCGGGAGTGGGCAAATGTGGGCTACAGAAGCCCCCTCTGTGTCTCCGTTGGCAGGCACTTACTTTCTTTGGGCACGAAGTGGATGAGGCGGCTCCTGACCTTCACCCGGGAGGGCTGGATCTGACACTTGCCGGGTGGTGCCCGTCTGCCGACACACAGGATGTCATGAGTCACCCCATCCCCCTGGGAGCTCACCCTGAATGTGTCCCTCCAGTATCATCCACCCCTTGCAGCCATGCACGAAGGGGAAGGGCCGGCGTGCCTTCAGACCTGGGCAGGTGTGAATGCTAACAAGGGTGGCCATTTACGGAGCAGCACCCAGGTGGCTCAGTGGCAAAGAATCCGCCTGCAGTGCAGGAGACCTGGGTTCGATCCCTGGGTCGGGAAGATCCCCTGGAGAAGGGAAAAGCTACCCACTCCAGTATACTGTATAGCCCATGGGGTCGCAAAGAGTCGGACACGACTGAGCGACTTTCACTTTCACTTTCACCCAGGTGTCTCAGTGGTAAAGAATCTGCCTGCCAATGCAGGACACTCCGGAGACAGAGGTTCGATCCCTGGATCGGGAAGATCCCCTGGGGAAGGAAATGGCAACCCACTCCAGTATTCTTGCTTGGAGAATCCCATGGACGGAGGAGTCTGGCGGGCTACGAGAGTCGGACACAACAGCACACTCCTGCTGCACCAGCCTCCCAGGCCCCAAGAGCCCAACCCCAGGACAGGAACACTTCTGAACAGCCTGCCGAACACCCACTCAAGCCTCTGCCTGAAGTGCACAAGGGCCCCGGTGGCCACTTCTGACTCAGGGCATGAAGCGTCCTTGGGATGCGATCAAACGTCACGCTCCTCCTCCCCAGCCTGCCGGGTCTGACTCCTGTAACTGTCACTGCAGCCCCATCCCTGCATCTTACCCTGGCCCCTGTCCCCCACAGCCTTTGAGGAGGGTCTCTCTCTGCCCCTCTGGTTCTGAGATTTCTGGTGATGCCGAATCAAAGGGAAAGGTTAAGTCGATCTGAAGAATGAAGCGGGGCGGGGAGAGAGAGAGCCTCAGGGCTGGCGGCATAGCTGAGGAAACTGGGGGCCTTGGAGCGCCAGGTTGGAGAGCGCTGGGAGAGAAAAGAGCCTGAGAAGGGTTGCCAGGGCTCTGAATTGGGTCTCCTTGGACATCTTGGAGGGGCACAAGGAAGGAATGGAATCCCATTTTAATGAGCTTCTGGCTGTTGATCTGTGAATCTTTGAATGGGACCGACCCTATTCTGGGACCAGCCCACGTGGGTCCAAGACTTCAATGGGTCCCAGGAGCACGAAGGGAAAGCCCAAGGGCTGAAGCAGCCACGTGACCCTGGGCTGCTTTCAAACAGCCCCAGCAGAAGGGAGAAAGCGAGGGGGGACCTGGGCTGCCCCCTGCCCCCCGAGGCTGAAACACAGCCCGGTTCACATCCTTCTCCAAGCTGCAGAAAGGGTGGTTTTTCCGGCTGCTCTGAGCTCCAGATAATAGCCACACGCGTCAGACCGACCCAGCTGGTTTTGTTCCTTAAGGAAATTATGTAAAAATTTTTTGTTTTGCCAAAGGGTAGGAGATGCACCCAGAAAAATCCCACAGTGGCTATGTTTGGGCAGAGGACCCTACCCTACTCCCTCCACTTCCCATTTCTTCATTTTCCAAATGTTCTGGAATGTGGCCCCTCTGCCATATGTTGGGAGTGCAAAAACTTACATGGATTCCAAAAGAGAAAAGTGCAAGGGATGAGAAGGGTCAGGGGGCGGGGGAAAGGGGAGTCTAGCCTCTTGCCTGCTCCTCTGACCCATGAGACCTCGAGCAGAGATCCCTAAGCCTCAAGTCCCTCTGTTGTAAGCGGGTCGTGAGCCCAGGGAGCTGCAAGGGACGCGGGATCAATCCCTGGGTCGGGAAGATCCCCTGGAGGAGGTGATAGCTACCCTTCCCAGGTGGCGCTAGTGGTAAAGAATCCTCCTGCCAATGCAGGAGATGCAAGAGACACAGGTTTAGTCTATGGGTCAGGAAGATCCCCTGGAGGAGGAAACGGCACCCAACTCCAGTATTCTTGCCTGAAAAATCCCATGGACAGAGGAGCCTGATGGGCTACAGTCCATGGGGTCACAAAGAGTCAGACACAACTGAAAAGACTGATCTTGCACGCATGAGCCCAGAAGGATGCTGTTCAGACTAAAGGAGTTGGTGGGTCTCAGGCAGTATCTGGCATGAATTAGGTGATATTCCTTAGAGAAGCATTTTTCCCTTCCAAATTGGAAATAACCTAAATGTCCAAGGGACGGATAAGGCAGTCATGGCACAGTGACTCAACAGAAAATTATGCGGCCATCAAAAACGAGCCTTCTGAGGGTCATGTTGCAACATGGAAATGTTTATGCAAAATAAGGACAGACCTACAAAGTAAAATGTAAAGTTTGCATGTGTTCCTCCACAATGACAGCAATCCAAAGAGGGCCAGGACCTCAGAGGAGGGAAAGAAGCAAGCCCTTACGTTTTTCTTCATAGTTATGTCAATAACGAAGAGCTCTGTGCTTTCAACAAAACAGTGTGGTAAACGAGGAATGTCTGAGAGACAGTCATAGACCAGAGAACGCTAATGAGACATAGTAACTGAATACAACATGGAATTCTGGATGGAATCCCAAAGCAAAGGACATGAGGGAAAAACCAGAGGAATCCTTTTTTTAAAAGTATGGCGGTGCCTGACTTTTTAAAAAGCGTGGCATTTAATGAAGAGTAAAGCACCAGTATTGGTTCATTAACTGTGATAGCGTTAGTTGCTCAGTTGTGTCTGACTCTTTGGGACCCCACTGATTGTAACCCACCAGGGTGCTCTGTCCATGGAATTCTCCAGGCAAGAATACTGGAGTGGGTTGACATTTCCTTCCCCAGGGGATCTTCCTGACCAGGGAATTGAACCTGGTTCTCCTGCATTGCAGGAAGATTCTTTACCAGCTGAGCCACAAGGGAAGCCCAAGAATACTGGAGTGGATAGCCTATCCCTTCTCCAGTGGATCTTCCTGACCCGGGAATTGAACCTGGTTCTCCTGCATTGCAGGAAGATTCTTTACCATCTGAGCCACCAGGGGAGTCCTTAATCATGACAAATGTATCATAATAATAGGGAATACTGAACGGTGGACATACGGGAAACTCTGTGCTATCATGGCGACTTATCTGTAAAACAAACTGTTCTAAAATTTAAAAAAGAATGTTTAAAAATGTGATGGTGGGGTCCACAGTTGTCAGTCCCCACTGGTATCTTTGGCGCCTTTCTAAGGGTGGAAGCGTGCGTGCTAAGTTGCTTCAGTTGTGTCTGATTGTTTGCAGCCCCGTGAACTGTAGCCCGCCAGGCTCCTCTGCCCATGGATTTTTCAGGCAAGAACACTGGAGTGGGTTGCCATGCCCTCCTCCAGGGGATCTTCCTGACCCAGGGATCAAACCTGCACTCTGGCATCTCCTGCGTTGGCAGGTGGGTTTTTACCAATAGCGCCACCTATGAATACAGCTGGACTTTGAGGCTGGCAGATAGGTTCTGAATCTTAGATCTGCCCTTACCAACAGTACGAGCTTAGCTAGTCACTTTCCCTCTCTGGGTCTGTTTTCTCTTCTGAAAAATGGGGGTGTTAATCAGACCCACCTTAGGATGCGATAGAGAGGGGAAATAAGGTAACGGAGGGGAGTGCTCCTGGCAGACAGAAGGAGCTCAGGCCCTCTGGGGGTGGGAGGCAGGTACTCACCTGGAAGGGTCGATCATCTTGTAGACCACCCCACGCGGCACAGTGGCACTCGGCATGCCTGTTGACATGAAGTACAGCTCCCCTTGAACAAGAAGCAAAGCAAACGGTGAGACAGCTGCCTGGAACACCATCCGGGCCAGCCCCACGCCCCCACCTCAGGCTCTAGGATGCACCCCAACCTCGGTGAGCCAGGAGGGGAGATGCTCCAGGTCGGTGTACCTCTCCAGTCCCCAGAACAGGGAACTGAGGCTGCGAAAGGCATCCAGACACACCCCGGGGTCTCTGCAGCACAGCCTCCTGGGGTGCTGGCCACTCTGTCCGCACCCACCCAGGCTCTGACCTCTGCTCGTGCCTCCTTCCTGGCGACCTCAGGGGCACCCAGGCCCCACCCCTGGTCCCTGCCTGGTCTCATGCCCAGCACACACACCTCTAAGCATCAGTAGGGGTCCACAGCCCAGCTCCCCACCGACTGCTTACTGGTGACCAGCTTCCACATTCCCCCACGGGCCTGCCTCATAGGGTTGTTGTGAGGATAACAAGAGCGTGGGGGTACCTGCTCCATCAGTGTGAACTATTACTGCCGTTGTTGTTATTGTCATTGGCACCCAGGGTCCAGATCCCGCCTGGCCCTTGGGGACAGGGCACCCTCTCTCTCCACGGAGCAGCAGGCACCTCCCAGGCCAGTAGCAGGGGCAGAAGAGTCTGAGGAGTCTCTGGTGTGAATCCCGGCCCCGGCACTTGCCCCACATGAGCTCCTGCAGCTCTGGGACAGCCCCCTCAGCCTCAGTTTGTAGAAGTGGAATTACGAGCACCTGGACCGTAGATACTCTCAGGGGAATTGAGTTCTCTGCTCTCTCCTCACCCGTATCCCACCCCCGGCCCTTGCTGCCACAGGTACAAATGTCCAAGAAGTAGGTTTCATTATTCTCAATGTACAGATGAGAAAATAGAGGCTCAGAGAGGTCAAGTGACTTGCCCAAAGTCACACAGCCGGTGAATGGTTAAGCAGGCCTTGAACTCAGAAACATCTGCTGCCCCCAAGCCCACACTGATGTAGGACACATAGTAGTTGGGAGGCCTTGACACAAGTCACTTGTGGCTCAATATGATGGTTCAGCCATGCTAATACCTCCCATCCTTGTAAGAGGCAGCAAAGAGCTCTCCCAAGGATGGGGGCAGGGGTGGTTTCCCCAAGGAGAGGCTGAGACAGGCAGTGAGATGGGAGCTTGGAGGAAAGCATGACCCTGGTGACTGGTGCAGTCATGGAGGGCTGCATGATGGTGGTGTCTGAGAATCAAGACCCAGGAAACCTGGGGAATTCTTGAAGGGGAAGACACTTAACAGGTGACCTGTGTAACTAGGGTAGACCCAGCTGTCAGGAGAGCTGGGGGCTGGTGAGAGCAGGATGCTGAGTGGTCAATGCCTTCTGACTTTTCCCTCCAGGAGCCCCAGCCCTACTTTGGTGGGGGTGGTGGGGTAGAATAGGCCCACAAGGTGGATGCACTCTGTGGGAGGGAGCAGGGTCCCGGCAAGCTGGTCCCTGCTGGAGAGTCCACAGGCATAGCCGTGAACTTGAGGCTCTGGGCTGTTTTCTGGAGAGAGGCCCTTGGGAGCAGACTGGCTCCTCCCTGGCTGGGCAGCCCTCCTTGAACCTACACTCCAGGTCCCTGCACATGCTGCCCCCTCGGCCTGGATGCACTTCTTCATAGGCTGCCTTTGCCTGACAAAGCTCCAGTTTGAGACCCTGCTTCCGGAGGCCTGGGGTGGGGGGGTGGGGGGGCAGGGCGTGTCCAGTGCCCCTCCCCCATCCCAAGACTGGGCAGGAAAAGCCAGCCTCAGTTCCCCCATCGGTACGGTGGCAGCACTGGACCGGGTGCACTGTAAGGCCCCATCCAGCCTTGGTCTGTGGGAAGCCATGGCCCCCCAGCCCCGTGCGCAGTCAGGGAGCCCTGATGGCACTGCTAAGCTCTGCCCAGGGCCACGCCGTCCTCCTGGTCTCTGCGGTGTGGAGTGTCCCTGGAGGACACTGGGTCAGCAGAGGTCCTTGTGCAATTTACAAGCGTCAGAAGATCAAGCCGAGAGGCAGAGGCTGCAGGGAGCTGGGGCGGTTTGCAGGCATCAGCCCCCCGGCTCTCTGTGCCTTCAGAGACCGCCTGCCTGAGCTCACCAGCATGCTGTCCGTCGGCCTGTCTGTCTTTGAGGGGCCTCCTCCTGGCTGTCCGTCCCTTGGTGTCACTCAGAAGGGCCCCCGGGCCTGCCTCTGGGTCTGGGCTCTGTGGGGAGGGGGCACCGGGAAAGGGCACCCCCCCTTCCAAAACATGTTAACCCCCTACTGACCAAAAGAAAAGGCTTTCAAGGGCCCAGTGGGCTTGAGGAGGGCAGTGGGGGCTGGGGCTGCCCTTTTGAAAACTTAAATTCTGACGGGTGTCGGTTCAACAAAGGTTTCCCAGACTCAGGCCCGGGGGCTCTGGGCACTGGGCCCTGCAGGGGGACACCTCTCGAAAGGGCCTTGGGAGGATGTTGCCTAGTAACCTGGCCAAGCATCCACCGGGCCCCACTGGGGGCCCCTCGGCTTTGTCCAGGGACAATCCGGGGCCAAGGACAAAGGCGGGATCCAGCCCCCAGGGTCCTTCTTCCTCTCCCCTCCCCCTCTGCTCCTGGCAATGAAAACACAAGCGCCTGAACAGGGGACCCACTAACAGGCAAGAAAGCAGCGCCCACCACTCTCCGAGGACAGTGCGACTTCATTCATAGTCCCCAGTGCATTTGCCATCAGGAATCCAGGGTGCTGGAGGTCCCCAGGGAGGCACTCTCCCGCCACTTGCCTGTCTTTCCACCATCACACCTGTTCCTGGTCCCATAACCTCCCTGGACTCTTACCTGTGGGGTCACGTGATCCCTCCCAGTAACTCTGCCCATGGTGGGAGTGGGGGGCCACTGCTCCCACTTTCCAGATGAGGAAGTGGGAGCTCAGACAGGTGAGAACTGACACCCAGACAAGGCTCAAGATCTCTGAACATGTCACCTTCCAGCCTGAAGGTGACTCAGGCCTGAGATGCCATCCCGGGAATCCCAGGCCAAAAGGACCCCGGAAGTGGGGAGGTCAGTCCCAGGTAGGGGCAGCCCAGATGGAAAGGCCTCAGGAGCGCTCACCAGCCTCATCCTCGGCAAAGGAGATAATGTATGGATAGTAGTTGTTGATGAGGCCTGGGAACGCGCAGGTCTGGCCACGGCCCATGCAGATCTCGCTGTACCGCCACTGGCCTGTCTCCAGGTTCTCCCGGAGGGACATCAGACGCCTGCAAAGGAGAATGGGCTGAGGGGTCCTGCCTGGCAGGGTGCCTGGGGGAAGCCCACCCACCAACCCATCCATCCACTCATCTGTTAGCCATGCAACCAGGACTGCACATAATATGCAGGGTCCAGTGCAAAATAAGCGTGCAAGGACCCTTGTTCAAAATGTACTAAAAGTTTCAAGATAGTGATGGCAGATCGTTAAACTGAGCGTGGACCCTTCTGAGCACGTCTGTGTGAGAGCACAGATTGCACATCCAGGAAGCCTGCCCTGCGTGCTGTCTTTACTGAGCACACCTGCTATTGCGTCAGCCAAAAAGTTTGTTTGGGTGTTTCTGTTAGACGTTACGGAAAAGCCCAAACAAACTGTTTGGCCAACCCAATACACAGCAGGAGAAGCCTGTGTGCTTAGTCTTTGTGACCCCACGGATTGTAGCCCACCAGGCTCTCCTCTGTCCATGGGATTCTCCAGGCTAGAATACTGCAGTGGGTTGTCATGCCCTCCTCCATGGGATCTTCCCAATCCAGGGATCCAACCCAGGTCTCCCGCATTGCAGGCTGATTCTTTACTGTTGAGCCACCAGGGAAACCCAGAAGAAGCCTATGGGTGAACAAGACTGACTTGGTTTCAGCCTCCTCTGTTCAGTTCCAACCACTGACCAGCAAGAGGCAGTCAGGAACTGACTTCCTGTTCAAAGCCTCTGAGGCTGCACAGACTTGGGTGCTGCCTCCACTTGGGAGCATGAAATGGAGAATCTGTTTTTTTTTTTTGTTTTTTTGATTTTGATGTGGACCATTTTTAAAGTAGTCGTTGGATTTGTTATGGTATTGCTTCTGTTGTTTATGTTTTGGTGTTTCGGGGCCGCAAGGCACATGGGATCTCAGCTCCCCACCAGGGATGAATCCATGCCCCCTGCAGCTGAAGGCAAAGTCATCACCACTGGACCGCCAGGGAATTCCTGAAGTGGAGAATTTGGCATCTTCAGAATATGCTGATTTTGTCCCTACTCCCTTCTATGCTTGTCAGTCACCTACAGATACTTTCAGGCCCTGCTTGGTTGTCCCCTCCTCCTAGAAGCCCTCTTGCCTGATCCTGTGCTGGGCTTCCCCAGACAGCATGGGCTCTCTGAGGCCAGACTCGAGTGGACCAAGTGAGACTCACACCTGGCTTGGGTGTGAGGTGTTCTTCAACTTTGTTGCTCTAGCCCTGGCATGAAGCCTGCCCCAGCGGAGGAGCTTGGGAAGTGCCGGCAAAATTCACTGAATTTCTGTGTTCAGGTGGCTTGGGCATTCCTGGGGTGGGGGTGGGGGTGCAGCAGAAGAGTAAAAGGAGAATTGGGGTAAAAAAGAGAGGTTTCCTCTATACCCATTTTTCAGATGGGATAACTGAGTCCAGAGGGACACTCTCCAAGCTGGGAGAAGGACCCAGCCCAGGTCAAGGTTTTCTGTCAGCTCCAGCTATAGATAAATGGCCACAAACCCACCCCAGTTCAGCAGCCTGCAAGAGGTAAGAATTCTGCCAGCCTCAGGCTTCCTTACTTCCTCTCTGAACAGCGACCCTGTTCAACTGCCCTTATGTGGAGAGGCTAGAGTGCAAATACTTAAGAACTGGTGATCCAGTGGTTAGGATTCCACACTTCTACTACAGGGGACCTGGTTTTGATCCCTGGTTGGGGATTCTTCAAGCTGCATGGTGCAACCAAAAAAAAAAAAAAAAAATTCATTTCACATGAGGCTGGGAAAGTCCTGAGATCACCAGCAGATCCTTCCATTTTATTCATAAAATAAAACAACAACAAAACAAGCAGAAATTGGGCATGTTCTAGATTCTAAGTGCTGTATATGTAAGAACAGGACTCAAATAAGCTTAGTAAGCAGGTACTATTATCATTTTGCAGATGAGGGAAACTAAAGCTCAGAGAGGTGAAGCAGCTGGCTCAAGGTCACACAGCTAATAAGCGCGCCAGGCTTTGGACACAGGTCGTCTCAGCTATACTTTAAAACATCATGCCAGGTGTGTGGCTTCCCTGGGCCTCTCTGGGCCTCAGTTTTCCCCTCTGTACAATGGGAGAAACATGTGTCATGAGGCTCTGTAAGCTCCCCTGGGAAAGAGTCTGACCTATGTCAGACTTGGGTGTATGGTCTCCAACCCCTTCTGAAACCTGTTTGGGATGTGATTTATCCCACCCCCCCTTTCCCCCCAACACACCCACCCCCACTCTGGGGGCTCAGTGGGTGGAGGCAACATGGCCACAGAGCATGGGAATCGGGCAGCAAGGCTCCATGGGGCCCAGTGGGCAGACCTCAGCTGGAGCCCCGGGTGCCCTCTCTCCAGCAAGGTGACCTCTCTGGCCCATTGGCAAGCAACGACAGGTCCTGGCTTCCAGGAGACGGATGACCCAGAGCCGTCAAAGCTGATGTTCAGGTTCCCCGACCTTTCACCTCTGCGGTCCCTGACCCTCAGAACTGCTGTCGGGGCACTTACCCGCTCATGAAGTCTCCAAAAATGTAGAGGCCGTTCAGGTTGGGGTACTCGCAGCCCCGGTACACGTAGCCCCCAGTCACCGACTTGCCCAGTTTGTGCGGGTAGGCGAAAATCGGCAGCGTGTCATCTGCAGAATGGGGAGACGCTGGGTGAGCCTGCCGGGGTCCCGCCGAGGCTCCGTGGGTGGGCCTGAGTCCTTCCCGACCAGGGGGTGGGAGGGCCCCAGGAGGGTCGGAGATGGGGCCCCAGAGAGTCAACGAGAAAGGGTGATGCATAAAGTTTGTAAGGTGGGGAGAGGGCAAGGGTTTGCCAGGCAGGAAGTGATTTGGGGGGGGGTTGGCGGGGGAGCCATTCCGGCAAGCGAGGCAAGTCTGGGGTGGGCGTATGGCTGGCTACAGGCTGAGGCACTGGCGCGCAACCCGATGGGGGGGCGGGATGGAGCGGGATGGAGCGGGTTGTACCAGGATTGGGGGGTCTTCAAATGGCGCGGGGAGGTAGGTGAGGTTGGGGGGCCACCGAGGGAGGCGTGGGCGCACAGCCGTGGAGTGGGGGGTGGCAGATCTGGGGAGAGGGGTCCCCGGGGGCGCGGAGCGGGTGGGGGCGGTCACCGAGGGAGGCGTTGGCGCACAGCTTGCGGTCGTAGCACTCGTAGCCCTCGCGGGCGCGCCAGCCGTAGTTGCGGCCGCGCTCCACCAGGTCCACCTCCTCGAACTTGTTCTGGCCCACGTCGCCGCAGAAGAGGCGCCCGCGGCCGGCGCCCGTCGCCGGGTCGCCGCGGTCGAAGGAGCAGCGCCACATGTTGCGTACCCCGAAGGCGTAGACCTCCGGCCGCGCGGCGGGGTCGCCCACAAACGGGTTGTCCGGCGGGATGCGATAGAGCGGGCCGCGCTCGTTGCGGTCCACGTCGATGCGCAGCACCTTGCCGAGCAGCGCCGATCTGTGGGAGAAAGCACCGACTGGGGCGGGGCTGGGGGTAGGGGGCCTGGAGTCCAAGGCCGCCCCAGGTGCAAGGCAAGCGTTGGCTATGGGGCCAGAGACCCCAAGTTCAAGTCCTCAGCAGCCATGCACCGGCTGGGTAACCCCAATCATTCATTTGACATTATCAGACACCTTACCAGGCTCCATCCTAAGCGTTTGACTTACATACCATCTGTTGCTTTGTTTCATCCTCACAACAAATCTTTTAGGTGGTTGTTGTTGTTTAGTCATTAAGCCATGTCCAACTCTTTCAATTCTCTGGACTGTAGCCTGCCAGGCTCCTCTGTCCATGGGATTTCCCAGGCAAGAATACTGGAGTGGGTTGCCATTTCCTTCTCCAGGGGATCTTCCCTACCCAGGGATCGAAGCCTCCATCTCCTGCATTGGCAGGCGGGTTCTTTACCCGCTGAGCCACCAGGAAAGCCCCAGTCTTTTAGGTAAGTGGGTGCTGTTGTGATCGCCGTTTATTCCACAGACGGGGCAGCTGAGCGCAGAGAGGCCATAGAGCACCCCTAGTTGCCTCACCCCTCATAAACCGTTGGGCTGAGATCCAGCCTAGGTAGCCTGGCTGCAGAAACCCAAGCTCTTCACCGCACTTTCTGACCTCCCCAGGCCTTGGGGTTCTCGGCTGTAATATTAGATGGTCTCTCTCTTTCCTTGCAGGACTGCGCTACCAGGTGAAAATGATACTAGAAAAATGATGCCTATTTACAGCTTACTTTCAGCACCTAGCACAGCAACAGGCATGCAGTAGGTGCTCATTAAGTGTTTGGGGAGTGAATGAATGAATAACTGCAATCAAAATCAAGTGCACCTTTCCAGAGTACAATGGAGGGCAGGGAGAGAAGGCAGCAGCCGTTAGCAGGAAACGGGAGGTGGGGTTCTTGCCTTCTCTCTCACACACGCCCAGGGCCATCGCAGCATGTCAGAGGGCCAAACAGGCCTCCGAAACGGTCCAGTTCACCCCACACTCCACACACACCATCCTGAACCCAGGCTCTGAGGGGGAACAACCTGCCAGTCCCCCAGGCAGCTCTGGACAGGAAGTGAGGTCCCTTCAGGTGCCCGGCAACATCGGCTTCCGGGGCCTAGGAGCAAGACCTCAGCACGTTCCCTCCAGAGCCAGGCGGAACAGGGCGCAGCTGCAGCCCGGACCTCCATGCAGCCGCTGGAGTGAGCGGCTTCCGGGTCTCATTCATTGCAGGACAAAAGCGACACACGATGGAGTCTGCGACGTCCCTGAAGATGTGCAGCGTGGAACACACACTCTTCATCTGTGACTTTTTTTTACAGTATTTATTCATTTCTTTGGTTGTGTCTGGTCTTAGTTGAGGCATGTGGAATCTTTAGTTTGGGTGTGGGAACTCTTGGTTGTGGCATGTGGGATCTAATTCCTTGATCAAGGATTGAACTGCACTGGGAGCAGAATCTTAACCGCTGGACCACCAGGGAAGTCCCTTCATCTGTGATTTTTTGATGCACTTACTTAATGCAAGGTTTTTGCCTAGCATCTGGGTGCACTCCCTTTGGGCTGCTTTTTAAGGCAGGACTGGCTGGTCTGCCCATTTGATGCAACTGTGTACCCCACATTCTCACAGAGCATCAGCACCCAAGCATTTCCGCCATCATTAAAGACACCACACAAGTGTCCTCTTTCATGATGATAAAACGCTCTCCCCCGCCCCAGTAGCTGCCCCACAGTTAATCCCCTATTGTGGACTTCTAGGTTCTGCTCCAGAGAGTTCCTCTGACACTCTCCAGCCTGCTCCACACCAAGCTACAGATTACTCCCCAGAGCCCACACACCACGCTTCAGGCTTTGATATGTAAGTGGGCAAAACTCATAGCAGCAAAATAATGTTTTAAGTCTTGTCCAATTATCCACAAATCCTTAATTTCTATTTTCTCAACTTCATCTCTAAATACATCCCAAACATGAGAAAGCTGCAATGATTCTTATGCTGTCACATATGAAAGCACAAGTCACAAATTGGGAACACTTTAATTACTGTAATCAACATCATATGCACTATTTTTACTCTTTGGGCTGAGGAAGGTTTTGTGATTTTGGCTGAGAGAATGGGGGAGGTTGCCCTGAGACTCCTGGGCATCCTTATCTATACACTTGAGACTCTGTGTGTGTGTGTGTGTGTGTGTGTGTGTGTAAAGAAGGGGATGGTGGCAGGCCATCTTCTCAAGTCCAGAAATGAAGAACTGAGAGCAAGATTCTGCTTCAATTTTGGGGTCATCTCGGGTGACCCTTGGGGTAGAAAACCCACATGCCCATCCATACAGCCCTGCTCCAGCCAGCTCACACTCCCCGTTTGGTCTGGGAAACACCCCTTTCCTTCCTCTGGCTTCAGCAGGGCTGGGCGGACTTCAGAGAAAAATCTCATCTTCCCAGAGGCTCTGTGATGCCGCCTTTCAGGTACCCATCACCTTTATGCCTCATGACAAGCCTCCCCATGGAGATGATCATTATTCCTTTCTAACTGATAAGAGGAAGGCTGGTTGGCTGCAGGCTGAGCTGGGACCCAAAGCCATTTCTACTGCCCTAGTTTCGTGGCTGAGGAAGTAATTCCCCCTCCAGGAGAGTACATAAACCAACCCACCCACCAACCAAATCAGAACATACTTGTTTTGGGCATTTCCAAACTTCCCAAAGGGGTCTCCAGCCATCCCGCCATCTCCAGTAAAGATGTAGAGGTACCCATCATCCCCGAAGAGCAGCTGGCCTCCATTATGGTTCGAGGCTGGTTCTTCAATTTCCAGGATTATCCTAAGAGAAGATAAGCCATCCCACACACACAAACACACACACACACACAAAGAAAATGTCAGTCAGAAACACAAAACAAGATCACAGCGATAAAACCTCCTCTCTCTTAGATGCCGTTTCGTAGTTGGAAAGGCTTTCCATATCCTCTACAGGAGGTGATTCTTATAAGGATCTGGCAGGCTAGGAAGGGATAATTCACTTCACTGTGCCAATGAGATCCAAGAGGCTCAGAGAGGTTGAGCAACTTGCCCAAGGTCACACAGCCCATAGACAGCAGAGCTGGGACAGGAACCCAGGACTTCTGGTTCTGGTCTAGTGCTTTTCCCACTGCTCCCCCACAACTAGCCCCTGCCTGTTATGATCAAGTGAAACCGTTGACCCAGTCACTAGCATGACTGGTTTCTTCATCATCATAGCTCCCCACACACCAGCCACTTAAGCTGAGCACTTCTGACACAGTCCCTCATTTGTTATGGTTGCAGCTTCTAAGGAGGCGGGCTGGATGGTGTGGCCTGTGCTCAGCTCCACACTCACTTCCCATTGACCTCCTTTACTGCCAGGGCGGGAATCTTCCACCACACTGCCAGTCAGCTAGCTTCCAGTTAGGGCTTGCCAGGAGAGGGTGGTAGGCAAGGAGAAGGGAGGAGCCACATGTCCCTGGTTTCTGGCGCTGCCTCCGGAAGCAATGGTTGCAGGAAGGGCGACAGCGCCTGGTGAATGTGGACTCCTGGCGTTCTGCCCAGACATCTGGGTACCAGGAGGGGCGAAACCCAGCAGCACCAAGACCGTTTTGCCTTGTGTTTCCCTCGCTTCTCACAAGAACTCATCTCTAGGGAACTTGACCCTCTCCTTTTCCTTCTCCAGCCCTCCCAATACCTTTGTAGCCAACTCCCTGTATTAAATTCCCTTTGACCAAAATGCTTAGGCTAGTTTAGGTTTTCCAGGATTGGCGACTGACTGGCCGATCCTTTATTAATGCAGATAAGAAACCTGAGATACAGAAATGTCAGGTACCTTGACCCCAGGACTTTCGACCTTCAGAACCAAGACCAGAAGCCTTTCTATTGTGAGACCAACACACACAATCCCCAAATCGGGTCCTCCATGGAAAGGACAGCCCAGACTGTTAGACGTCCATCTCCCATGGGGATCCCAGCCCTGAGAACAGAGACTGACAGCTGACTCAGGCGAGAAGGACCACTCATTCCTGGCTCTGCCTTGAGCCAGCCATGCCTACTTCCTCCCCTGCAAGAGTCAGGTTCTAGGCTTGAACTGTGAGGGCCCCAGAGGACCCTTGATGAACCCTAATTCTGAAATATGTTCATCTGTATATTTTGTGTTCCACCTTCAGTCTTCATCAGGAATCCATTTTTTAAAGTCACCATTGAAGACACATCCATTCTGTCCCTCTGTCTTCCCTCTGTGAGATTCACATGACGAATCTGGCCTCTCTTGGAGACTCAGTTGTGTGGCTTCATATATGATAACGAGAATTATGCTTTCCATTTTTGCCTTGGCTGCCAGGAAGCTCACAGGCAAAATCTATTAATACATTAGATTCTCACATTAGCCAGTTTGATTCCTTCTTTTTATACTTTCAATGTCAAGAGTTTACAATTTTATCGAACACATGATGTGCTATTATTTGCTTATTTGCTCTCAGATCAGCCCTGGTCCTCCCCTTACCTGCTCTCTGCTTCAGAGGGCCAGCTGCTACAAACTACACTTCCCATGCTCCTTAGCTAACTGGCCTCCAGCTAGGTTCAGCCAAGGAAAGCATTGGCAGGAGACTGGAGTTGGGGGGAAGAAAGTGAAAGTGTTAGTCGCTCAGTCATGTCTGACTCCTTGCGACTCCATGGACTGTAGCCCACCAGGCTCCTGTCCATGGAATTCTCCAGGCAAGAATAGGAGAGTGGGGTGCCATTCCCTTCTCCAGGGGATCTTCCCAACCCAGGGATGGGAACCCTGGTCTCCTGAATTGTGGGCAGATACTTTACCAGCTCCTACAAACTACATTTCCCATGTTCCTCAGCTAACTGGCCTCCAGCTAGGTTCAGCCAAGGAAAGCAGGAGATGGGTGGGGGAGGATTCGGGGGTATTTCTCCCTCCCCCCTCTCTCTCGGCTTCAGGCAGTGTCTTGGCAGTAGCTGCACCTCTTCCCTGGCTCCAGCTGCCCCCACCCAGGCCCACCGTGGTTCCAGCTCCTACCCAGCGGCCCCAGCTGACGGGCTCCAGGAGCCCTGCCTCTCGCAGTCCAAGAGGTGAAGTCAAGCTCCCTTCAGTTGCTGAACTCGGGGTTGCCTCCCTTCTCCCCCTCCTCCCCCCACTTCTCATTCATCATTTCCAACACCTGAGGAACTAATTCCCAGTATCAAATTCTGCCTGTCTGAATTACCTGGCACGGGACTTATTTTCCTATTGGAGACAGATTATGTATGCCCTTCACGCCAGGCTAGGTCAAAATTGTTCGCCGCTCAGTCGTGTCTGACTCTTTGCGACCCGGTGGACTGCAGTCCGCGTCCCCCCCCCCCCCCCCCCCCCCCCCCCCGGGCTCCTTTGTCCATGGAATTCTTCCAGGCAAGAATTCTTCTCCAGGGGATCTTCCCACCCCAGGCATCAAACCAGGGTCTCCTGCATGGCAGGCAGATTCTTTACTGTCTGAGCCAGCATGGAAGTCTGTGTATCTCATGTGTATATCAAGCCCTGTCACACCTGTTTTGAAAACAGTTGGAGCATAACTAATACCCAAAGAGCAGGCTGGGTATTGGGAGGGGCAGAAGCCTGGAGGCAAAGAACGGATAAACATGCAGTTGGGAGGGTGGGAAGGAGCAATTTGGGGGTGGAGTGTGGAGGTGACAGGTAGGAGGTGGGGGCCAGCCAGGTGAGAATGGCCCCTCCGGGCCAGAGCTGGGCGGATGGGAGCAGTGGGTTGGGCCTGGGAGGGAAGCAGACAGATCAAAGTTCCAGCTCTGACACTTCCTAGCTGTGTGACCTAGCAGTCCCTTCACCTCTCTGAGCCTCCACTTCCTCATCTGTAAAATGGGGCTGTATGAGAACCAAATGAAATGAACCAGCTAAAGTACCTGATCCAGGAGCTGGATTCAAGTCCCGTGATGTCTGTTTGGCAGCTGCCCCTCCCCTGAACTCCTAGGGGACTCAGCCCCCTTACTAGGTGTGACAGTCAAAATATTTCACACCCCTCGGGGCGCAGCGCAGATCCCATGGACCATTGCTGGTGCGCTGCCTTGCCGGATCTCAGCCCCGCCCCCTCCCGGCCTGGGCTCCCGGGGGGAACCACCTCTCGGAGTCGTGGTCCACAGCGTTGACGTCATCCTCCGAGACCCTGAACTCGCTGATGCGGATCCACTCGTCGAAGCCGACGCCCACCGAGTAGTAGACGTAGAGCTTGCCATTATGCCGGAAGCTGGGGTGGAAGGCGAGGCCCAGGAAGCCCCGCTCATCGCCCTCCCAGGGCGAGGTGAGCACGGCGCGGCTGATGTTCAGGAAGGGCTTCTCCAGCCGCGAGCGGTCGGGCAGGTAGACCCACACCAGCCCCAGCTGCTCGGCCACGAAGAAGCGGTGGGTGCCGTCCCGGGCATGGACCATGGCCACGGGGTTGCGCAGCCCGTTGGCCACCTCCTCCAGGCACAGCTGCAGGCAGCCCTCGGCGTCGGCCACCACGCGGCCCAGGTTGGAGTTGAGGTTCTCGTTGACCAGCAGGCGCGGGAAGCAGTAGTCGGTGTCGTCCAGAGACAGCGAGCGGCACAGCTTGGCGCGGTTGCCCTCCAGCGCCCAGAGCTCGCGGTCCGGAGACAGGTGCCGGATGAGGCCCCGGCACGTCTGCCACATGTCCAGGCAGTAGTCCTCGCAAAGCCCGGGCACCGTCCGCAGGGGCGTGGATGGGTCCTCCGCGTCGTAGAGGTGGGCCGCGTAGGGCGAGCATTCCTGCAGAGACAGGCACGCGCAGGGATGCTTTGGGGTGGGCTTACCAGCCATGTGGCCGCGGGTGGTTCACCCCATCTCCTAGAGCCTCAGTCTGCTGATCTGTAAAATGGGAAGACGCCATCTGTCCATTCCACCCACTGTCTCGACTACAGTGCCAGCTCCAGGGGGCCTGCATCTCCTCACCTTCCTCCTTTCTCTTGCCTTGATGCTTCTGTTAGAATAACCACACTGTGACTGCTCCTGCTACTAACAACATCAGGAGCTACTCTTAAGCACCTATTTTCTGCCAGAAAGGCTCTGAGGCATTTTAATACATTTTTTCTTTTATTTATTAAAAAACATATATATGTATTTGGCTGCACCAGGTCTTAGTTTTGGCCCTCGAGATCTTCAGTTGTAGTATGTGATCGGGCTTCCCTGGCGGCTCAGATGGTAAAGAATCCCCCTGCAATGCAGGAAACCAGGGTTTGATCCCTGGGTCAGGAAGATCACCTGGAGAAGGAAATGGCTACCCACTTCAGTGCTCTTGCCTGGAGAATTCCATGGACAGAAGAGCCTGGCGGGTTATAGACCATGGGGTCCCAAAGAGTTGGACACGACTGAGTGACTAACACATGTGAATTCTTAGTTGCAGCATGTGGGATCCAGTTCCCTCGCCAGGGATCGAATCCATGGCCTTCTGCATTGAGAGTGCAGAGTCTTACCTACTGGATCACCAGGGAAGTTCCACTTTCTCTTTTTATATGCTGCCTCTGCCCTATACCTCCATGATTCACTCCACTTTCTTTTTTAGATTCCTACTCAAGGGGCACCTCCAGGGAGGTCTTCACTGACCACCCCGTCCATCACCCCCATTTCCTCCTGGCGTCTGTTTTGGCTTAAAACAGAAAACCATAAAAAAACAAACACTGTAACCGTTCCCTGATAATGTAATAAAAATCAATGGGTTTACGTGTTTATTGTCTGCCTTCCGCGGAACCTAAATTCCACGAGGGCAGGAATTTTGCCTGCGTTGGTCCCTGTTGTATCCCAGAGCCTGAGATGGTGTCTGGCATATAGGAGGCCCACGGTGAATACCTAGGCACCATGCTGGACACTGACTCACCCTGAGCAGCCCTGGGTGGGAATAAGTGCTCCTCCCTCCATCGTTTAATCCCCACAAGAGCCCACGACGGGGAGCTCTCTCCTGCACATGGGGAGACCGAGGTGTGGGTCCCCCAGTGTCACTCGGCACCATTCCGTGAGCACAGAGGATGTGGGTTTGGTCTCGGGTGGACTCATCCCCCCAGCACCAGGGAGTGACACGTGTACACGTGTGAGTACCTTGATTACACTCCTGTCCCCACGTCCCCCTGGCCACTAAAACCCGCTTCCTCCTTCCCTCTGACCTTGGGTTCGGCCCCTCCAGACGGGGCCCTGAGCCTGTCCGCTGCAACCAGACCAGCTTCTCTGTGAGATGAATCAGATCCGCTCCTCCCCTGCTCCCCCTCCCCTCCAGCACTTCTTCAGACCCTCTTGACCTCGCTGGCCCCTTTTCCGGCTCTGCTGGGCTGTGACTCCACTGGGAAATATCCAACAGCTATGGCTCCCCCCTCCACCGCCCCCTCCCGGGGCTTCCCCATTGATGAGACACTTGGGACCCCACTCAGCACCTGTGTGGGCAGGATCTGGAATGTGGAGGAGTTAAGGCCTGATGTGGCAAACCTTGGGCCCCTGGGAGCAGGAAGCTGATGGAGAAATTGTTCTGTCTTCCTCTGGGCTCACCCCCTCCCCTCCCCGGGCCAGGTCTGATCTGCCATCTATATGGCTTCTTGGACCTGTGGTCTTGCCAGCTCAAGCATCAGTCACATTTGGCAACAGCCAACTTGCAACTGCATCCTTGATGGGTCTCCCTCTGCCCCTGGTCACTCCTGCTGGCAGGGTCCATTCACCCTAAGAAGGAAAAAAATCCATGAGCTCTGGCCCAGGTTCTGCTCTCTGAGAACCCACGTGGAGACAACCAACATGACCAGGCCTCTCCCAGCTTTGAGATCCAGAACTCACCATTTGAGAGCTGAAAGCCCCCTCCCAACCACCACCCCCCAACCCAGAGCAAAGGTCTCCCACTCCAGGCTCTCTAAGGCTGTCCCTCACCTAGAGCCTCTGACGGAGCCTATTTAATTGTGTCCGTGTCTGACAGCCCCCACAACAGACAGGCCCACGCGGCCCGGTCCCAGGCAGGGCCCGGCTGGGCTCCCACTGGAGGCCCCCAGGGGCCGTGGGTGGCAGGCTGCCTTCTTGGCCAGGGCCTGCAGGTCTGACTCAGCCCCGGGCCCCCGGAAGCCTCCAGGGATGCTCGTCCCCCAGTAGGGGAGGCACAGACAGGCCCACGCGGCCCGGTCCCAGGCAGGGCCCGGCTGGGCTCCCACTGGAGGCCCCCAGGGGCCGTGGGTGGCAGGCTGCCTTCTTGGCTGGGTTCTCAGGCTCCTGGCCAGAGGCCACACCCTCCTTTTACACGATTGTGGCTTTTGGTCACGCCGTTGGCCTGTCCTCCTGGCCTGTCTCCTGCTACCGTGGGGCTGAGGGCCACTTGGTGACGCGCTTGTGGTCTGGTGAGCACCGTCTTGGGCCCAGACGGGGAGGCCGTGTTCCTTGTGTTCCAGACGGCCCGGCCCTGGCCTCTGCGCTTGCCCCCTCTCTCATACTACCCCTGGAGGCCCCGTGAGTCCCGCCAGCAGCTGTGTGTGGACCAGGGAGTGTCTGTGCGCACACACAGCTCATTTCTGCTTTGCGAGGTAGGGTCATGGTGATTCCTACTATATACGAGAAGCTGAGGCGTCAAGAAGGCCACAGGCCAAGAAGTGGCCAAGCCACAGCTCAGAACCCGGTCTCAGGACACCCAGACCAGGGCTCTTTTCAGATTACTCAACGGAATTTCATTCAACAAGTGTTTACTGCCTTCAGACTCCGTGCCAGGCACTGTCCTCGGCTCCAGAGACAGTGGACAGCAAAACAGACTTCTGCAAGCCAATCTGAGTGCCTTCCACGCATCAGAACCCAACCCACGGGGCTTCCCTCGTGGTCCAGTGGCTAAGACTCCACACTCCCAATTCAGGGGGCCCAGGTTCCATCCCTGGTCAGGAAACTATATCCCACATGCGACAACTCAGATCTCATGCCACAGCTAAAACTCCTGTGTGCCACAACTAAGAGCCGGCACAGCCAAATAAATAAACAGCAAACAAAAAAAAGCAACTGGCCTCACAGTGGTCAGTGGGGGGAGGCAGCAGAAAACTCATGGAAAACCAACCCAGTATCACATTGCTTAGCTGTCTGCGCCTTTCAGCACAGGGACAAACAGCCTGTCCACATTACTGCCCAAGGTTGCCTCTGTGCGGTTGCTGACACTCATGACCCACTGCCCAGAGTCCCAAAGGCTTCTTATGTCCATCGTGTCATCTACTCTTTAGGAAGACTGAGTCTTTTTTTTTTTGATTGTGCCACATAGCTAGTTCCTTGACCAGGGATCAAACTCTCAGCAGTGAAATCACAGAGCCCTAACCACTGGATCACCAGAGAACTCCTCAGGAAGACTGAGTCTTTGTAGACAGTATTCACTTGTAGGACATTCCCTCCTTGCCCACTTTTGCATCTGGCAAACTCCTATGAATGCCTCAAAGCCCAACTCAATAGCCTTCTCTTACACCTCTGTCCCCTGACTCCCCCGGCCCTTGTGGATGCTCCTACAGCTCTCCGCCCACATCTCAAACACAGCAGTCACCTAAATGTAGTTCTGTAGCTTGCAGTGGGAGCTCTCTGTTTCTGCTGTCACCTCCCCATTGTTCAGGTGGTCTGCTTGACTAGGACTTAGTTATCTCTTTTTGTGTCTGTCCACCCGCTAGGCTGTGGGACCCTTCAGGGCAGGGATCCCAGGGCCCAGCACACGGCAAGGCTTCAAGAAGGCAGGCAATATGGCAAAGTGATTAAGAGAGGAGTTCTGGAGTCAGAGCACACGGGAGACTAAATCTACCATTCCCTGAGCGACCTTGGGCAAGTTTCTTAACCTATCTGTGCCTATGTCCCCATCTATAAAAGGGAAAAAATTTTCCAAGAGAAATAAACTGAAGCACAGAATTATTGGGAGAAATAAACTGAAGCGATACATCTGTTTTCTGAGTAAGGGCTCAAACAATATGGACGATCCAGAGGTAACTCAGTGTTCCCTCCTCCAGGAAGGCTTCCCTGACTTTTTCAGGGCAAGCTCTGCCTCCATGGTGACCCGTGGGGAGCCTTTGGCCCATTCTGATAAGTGCCTCTGTGTCTTCTGAATTGAACAAGGAGACTTTTGAGAACTGGGTTTGTGACTGGCCAACTGCCCCTGGGCCCAGCACCCAGCACAGGGCCAACTCCTGACAGGCTCCGAAGCACTGTCTGCCCAGGGGCTGCGCTTGCAGAGTGTGTTGTGCAGACTTCTATCAGAAACCAGGCTTTGATGACTTGGGGTGCTTAGAGGCCATCACGGTCACATGGAAGTTTGTTGCGTGGACTGGCTCTCATCAACCTGGAACCTGAGCTATCACATGTCACAAGCTCTCTCTTCTCCTTCCTATGGCATCAGATGGACCAGGGCAAAGCCTCAGGAAAGGGTCTGAAGGGGCTGGGAGGGACTACTACCCTCTGGCTAGGTAGTCATCATGGGCGTCTGGAGGAGTCAGATGGGCGCATGTTCTGGGGGGACTGTGGGCACAGGCATGGTTTCATGGTCTCTTTCGCCATCGGAGTCCAGGCAGATGTGAGTGCCTGAATTCCATCACTGACTGAAACTTGTAAACAAGGCACCTCGGCCCCCTCCCCTGGTGGAAATCAGGAGGTGCTGAGTCCAGACACCGCCTTGGCTTGCTGGGAACACTGTCCCCGGTCCAGCGCTCTCCCTCCCTCCCACGAGGCCCTCCAGGGAAACCATGATCCAGCCCCCGCTGCACTCTCCAAGCTCGCTCCAGACATGAGGTCACTCCCAAGACGCCCGGGGTGAGATGCTAGCAGCCATTCTACCACAGCTTGCTCAAGGCCAGGCCATGCTGGGACGGCTCCCAAGGACAGAGGGGAGCCTCCTGCCAGGGGGAGGGTATTGGGACTGGCCCTTCCCTTCTTCCTTCGCAGACCTGCCTACCTTCAGTGCCCTGCTGAGCCTGGAACATAGTAAATGCTCAATTAAAGCAAAAAGACAAAAAAACACGGCATGGATGCATGAACTCTTCCACGTGACTGACATGGAAAGACCACAGGATCTGATCCTCTGGGGCCCCCAGGTTGGCGAGGGAGGTAGGCACTTGATCGCACCATTCTTGCTCCCCTGGGATGCCCAGTGCGGGGGCTCGGGGGAGTCCACCAGAAGAGAGAGCCCTCCCAGCCCCTCTTATTTCTTGCTCAGGTGACGGCTCACTCACATGGGCAGTGAGTGTGGGCCACGCATCACCATGGCCACTTCCGGGTTGTATGATCACCGGGCCAGTCCCTGCCTCTCCGGGCCTTCCCTGAGTCAGCCTCTGGGCCCCCCTCCGTCCTGCTTGGGGCTGGGCGGCCACTGGGGACCAAGGAGGCGCTAGAGAAGTCCAGGCAGAATGGCTCACTGAGCTCTGAGTGTGTGTCATTCAGTCTTCATGGCAAGTGGGGGTGGGGGTGGGGGAGGGCGGGGAAACTTAGACCTCCCCCAGTGTAAACATGATGCAACTGAAGGGCAGGGATGACCTGTCCTGGGTTGCAAGGCCAGGAAATGCAGAGCCAGGATGGGACCCTAGCATGTCTGAATCCAAGCCAGCACCTTTGGCCCCGCCCCTTCCACCAGCACCTGCCCCTGATGGCAGAAGGCTAGGACTCTGTGCTGCGTAGACAGGACCCCTCCACCCACGGGTCCTCTCACTGCCCGGGGCTGGGCCAGGGCCAGCCTTTGGATCTCTCAGCCTTGACCCATTACCCACCAGGGGTTGGGTACTCTGGAGTCAGGAAAATGAACAACTGAGGCACAATCTGGCGTGAGGAGAAGCCCGGGTTCAGCCGTCAGCGGGGGGATGGCGGCCAAGAGGCTTCACCAAAGGGATGTCTTGGGCGGTCTCCAAGGATGGGAGAGCTCACGCTGGGCGGGAGCACCATCCCAGGGAGAGGGCACAGCACAAACCTAGGGGGTCTGGAACCGCCTGGCACAGCTCACTACTGGGGTCACCCAGGATAGGAGACCCAGGGCATGTCAGGGTCTCACAATACGGAGGGGCCCTCAGACTGCTTCTTCAGGTTGAGGGGAATGGCCCTCATTGGGAGCAGGGTCCCCCACACCCCTCGACAAACCCAAGCCCAGCGCGACGATCATGCCCTCTGCAGGGGTCAGTGGGCGCCCAAATCTCCCGGGGGGCAACGCAAGGGAGCTCGGAGCAGAACAAAAGCTTCCCATCCTGGATCTTGGACAAGGGCAGGGCTCTCCGGGGCCGGGGCACTGGGGGCATCTTTAGGCGGTGCCAGGGCAGAAGAGCCCCCCAGACTCGGAGGCAGCAATGATTTCATCAGGAGGAGAAACTGAGACCCAGAGAAAACCTAAGGCACAAAGTTAGTGATGGCAAAGCCCACAGCCATCTCAGGATGCCCGACTCCCCGCCCCTTGCCAATTGACTCCCGCCCGGGGGCCTCTGGCTCCGAAGCCCGATGCCCAGTCTCGATCCTCCTCGCCCAGTAGGGTTGCCACCGCCGCCACCCTCGCATCTGGGGCCGAGGCCCCGGGCGCGCGCCCTCCCGCCGCGCGCCCCGCACGGCCCGCGCGCCCGCTCACCTGGCACAGCAGGTCGAGCGCGTAGCCGGCGCACTCGGCCCACATCGCGGCGTCCACGCGCGCCGCCACGGCCCCGAAGCGCCGGGCCAGCGCCGAGTCCTGCTCGGGAGTGCAGCAGCCGAAGGCCGAGTACTGCGAGCAGAAGCGCAGCGGCTGCGGCGGCCGGAAGGGCGGCCTGAAGTCCAGGCACTGCGGGTGCGCCGCGGCCCCGAGCGCCCGGAGTGCCAGCAGTGCCAGCAGCGTCCCGGCCCCGGCCCCGGCCCCGGCCCGCCGGCCCGCCATGCCGCCGCCCCGCTCCGCCCCGGCCCGGCCGGCGGAGGAAGAGGCGGAGGGAGGCACCCCCGGCCCAGTGCGGCCCGCGAGTAGCCGCCGGCCGCGCCCTGAGCGCCCGCCTCCTGCCCCGCCGGCAGCCTCCCGGGACGCCCGCCCCGCAGAGCCTCGGGCTGGGAGACCTGGAGACCTCCCGTGCTAGGAGGTCACCTCTGGCCTGGGACTGAGCGCAGAGGGGCGCGGTGCCGAACTCGGTGCAACCTCCTGGGTCGGGAGTCTTTCCGATTACGGTGGCGGTGACCTGGCCTTCTGGGGCCGGGTGCGGACTGCGTTTCGCGTTTTCATCTGGGATGCAGCTGTCTCCCCCCCCCGGGGTTTTTAGCCCAGGAGGTGCGGGAGACTCTGACTGGGCCAGGGGAGGGACACCATGGGGCCCGTGGTGGAAATTCTCACAAAATCACTTAAAATGGGAGCACAGTCATGTAAATGGGTGGTGGCGCTGCCCTGGGACTCACAAGGTGGGGAGGGAGGTTGGGGCCGCCTCAAGAGTCCACCGTGGACCCCACCCCAGGCTTCTTCCCCTTCTCCTCTCCTGGGCAGCTGACTCCGGGCAGCCTGGCACTGCAAGGCCTCCTCCCTCTGGCTCTTGCATACCACCTGGGTGGGCCTCCAGCTGTCCACCCTCCAGCTTGTGCTGGGCATCACCACCCAGGTGTCGGGAGGGGCATCCGCAGCAGCCCCGTTCCTCTCCCTACTCCCCATCAGCTCCACTCCACAGATCCCTAGAGGTTTTTCAGAAAGGCACATACCATGGGGGTCCTTGCCCTGCTGACCAGGCCTGAGGCCTCTCAGAGCCCAGGGTAGCGGTTTGCAAACTCTCTTGAGCAAGCCAGCCCCCCTGAAATGCAGCTTCTGAGGCATGCAGAGATTCTGATGCCCCCACCCCCACCCCGTAGAACTCTAATGCAAGAAATTCTGGAATTACTCTTTGAGTTACCCTGGTATACAACACACAGGGTAGGGTGGGGTTCACCTGTGGCTCCCACTGCCCAGACAGGACCCCCCTAAACACACACACACACACACACACACACACTCTGCCCCCTACTCCCAGGATCTCAGAGCAACAAGTACCCCCGGGTATACTTTTCCAGGTGGGCCTTAGCACTTGCTTCTCCCAGGACTGCTCTTCCCATCTTCTCGGTCTGGCAAACTCCTACCCAGCCTTCACGGCCCCAGCTCACACGCCCGTTCTGGGCAGGTCTCTTTGGGCTGCCCTGGGGGACAGGCCCTCGTGGCAGGACTGAGGGTGAACTTGATTCTGCAGGACTCTGAGCTCCTGAGGTCTGTGGTTTAAGCCTGAGCAAGTACCATGTGTGAGCCGGGGTGTCCACAGCAGGTCAAACATCTCTAAGTCCTTAAAATGTGGCGAGGGTGGACTTCCCTGGTAGTCCACTGGTTAGACTCCCTATTTCCACTGCAGGAGGGCACAGGTTCAATCCCTGGTCAGGGAATCAAGATCTCACATACCTCATGTCTCCCGCATTGGCAGGTGGATTCTTTCCACTGAGTCACCAGGGGAGTCCTGCAGTGTCGCAGACATTCAGATCGTAATAACAGCACATCAACACGGGCTCCTGGAGCGTGTGTGAGGGGCTGGGAGGGCGGGGGAGGAGGGCGCAGAGCCGGGGCCATAGCCATGAGCTTCGGGGATGGGGACAGCCTCACCAGTGCCCAGTGTCATTGCCACGGAACTTTCTGGAGATGGGCAGGCAGATACCTTTCCCCCGCAACATACGCCTGGGCACCGCCAGCCACTCAGGCAGATTCTGGGGCCACGGTGTCCTGCTGAGCCCCCATCCCCACCTGGGTGGAACAACTTTTAGAGATGTGTTTGTTAGTTCATTAAACAAATATTCATTAAGCAGCCACAGGGCACTTGGCTCAAGGCCCCTGTTCCCACCTGGCTGTTTTCCGGCATGCTGGGCCGTCTGACCTCGGAGAAGACCTGCTGTCTGGGGTCCCGAGGAGGGGGGCCCGGGGGCCCGGGCTCCTCTGACTGGTGCCTCCATCATGGGCGCACGTTTGCCAGGGCCCCCAGCACTCTTTATAGGTCTTGGCAGCGTGGGCGCAGAGTCTTCGTGCTGAGGCCCGCTGTGCAGAGGAGGAAACACGGGCTGCAGCACATAGCAAGCTGGCATTGGAGAGCCAGGGTCGCCGCTTCCTCTCTGGCGTGTCAGAGCTTGGAAGTGTTTACTCCTGTCTCACCAGTAAGACAAAGGGTGGGGCTTCTCCACTGGTCTAATGGCTAAGAATCCAACTGCCAATGCAGGGCCCAAGGGATCGATCCCTGGCCCGGGAAGATCCCACGTGCCATGGAGCAACTGAACCTGGGCACCATGACTCCTGAGTCTGCTCTATAGACTGTGCTGGGTAACAGAGAAGCCACTGCAATGAGAAGCCTGCACAGAAATGGCAGCAAAGAGTAGCCCCGCTCTCTGCACCTGGAGAAAGCCCGTAGGCAGCAACTAAGACCCAGAATAGCCACAAATAAATAAATCTTAAAAAAGAAAGAAAGAAAAAGGATGAATAGCCTGAAAATTGGATCAGTGACTTTTCCTGGACCCATCTGAGAACTGAGGTTTGAGGGTCAACCGCCACCCCCAAATCTGAAGAGACAAGCGAGTCCAGAGTGCCAGGGGTGATCGGCTCACTTGGGGCAGAAGGTACTGGATCCAGAAGCTGTCGGATGGCCTCAGAGGTCATGTTGATGAACTTCAGGAGGTTTAGTGCCGAATAGCGTGAGGCTGAGGAACTCCTGTGGGGCCCAGGGGTCACAGTCTAAAGGAGGAGGGACTTTATCGCTAGGGAGCCTCGCCAAAGACCCCCACAGCTCTTGCAGGGGGAAGGGAAAGCCTGTGGTCCCCTCCCTACCCACCACGAAACACTCTCACAACCGTCTCCATAACGAAACCCATTCTCCAGGATTGAGAGTTGTACCAGAGGCACGTCCCTGGTGGTGCAGTGGTTAAGAATCCACCTTACAATGTAGGGGCTGTGTGAGGTTCGATCCCTGGTCGAGAAACTAAGATCCCATGTGTCTTGGAGTCTGCGCAACCCAACTAGAAAGGCTGCGTGCCACAGTGAAGGAACCTGCAGGACACAGCGAGGGTCCCAGGGGCTGCAACTAGGGCCTAATGCACCCAAGTAAATAAATAATTTAAAAAAAACCAAGAATACTAATCAGCATAGGCATGTCAAAAAGAGAGAGCCCCATCCACATCAACCCCCAACACCCCTCACAAGGCATTTCCCCAACTCCAGCCCTCCCTAACCTAAGCTCTAAACCACCTGTCTTACCTAAGGGGACAAGCTAAGAAACGCTAGTGAATGTCACAGCCCCTGAGGACTGAGCTGGTGGCCATGGACTAGACGGCTTGAACGTTTTCACCGAATGCCGTCTGGGGTCAGGGATATTCGGGGGATTGGGGACACTGCCTGGGCAGCAGGAACAAAGCTGGTCCTTTGAGCCGATGTGCCCTCGGGCTCCACATGATGGAAACAGCGGCGGAAGCCAGCCCTGTGGCTAAGGAAACCTCTGGACTTTCTTCCCCAAACATTGGCTTCGTGGGTACTTTCAGCAGTTGCTTCTGGGCCCAAAGGCTGCCTTCTTGCCCATTCGGGTCCCGCCTGGAACAAGAGCGACGCGCAGTTCTGCCATCAACACCCTTGGTGACCCCGTGCATGATCTTCCCCACCCTCAGCCCCGATTGCCCTACTTCTTGTTGGGGCGGTGCAGAGGAGGTGAGACCAGGCCACTGCTGGCCACTCCGGGTCCCAGCCCAGTGGGCCTGAGGATTGTCTCAGGGTGTAGAACTATTGCCCACATTTCCAGGAGCCCCGAGGGCACTGCCAGAACCCGGACACAGAGACCAGAGGAACACCCAAAACCTTCTCTAGCCAGACTGGGTCAATGTGGGCCGCCAGCCATGCATCAGCTCCTGCTGAGCAGACACCCGCTAATTACACAGCCATTAGTTCCTTCTCCAGAATGACGGGAAAGGCCCCCGACCCGCCTGCCTGCGCAGGGGGTCACTTGCCCTCCCCGTCTCTAGGAGGCAGCCGGTATCAGCTAATCCTTTCTCCCTAGGACCCAGGCCACTCAGCCACAGCAGGAGATTGCGCTAGGCGTCCTAGCACAGGAGAATGTGTGAGCTGGGGGCTGGGCTGGTCCCAGCTCAGTCAGCCTGGCAGCTGGATTCCCTGCGTGATGTGGATCACAGCTGGGCAAAGGGCCTGGGGCCCTCAGAGGCTTTTGTAAACACCTCACACCTACGAGAAATCAGACAGCGTGAGAGAAAGAACACCCAAGGACACACCACCAGACTTTACCCACGTTAATATTTGACCACATTTGCTTCAGACGTCTCAAGTGTTATTTCAAAACAAGAGGAACTGTGAGAACTGTGAGAGGCCAGGCATGAGGGTTAGTAATCCAGAGTGTGGGCTCTGCAATTTACTGTGACATTGGACAGGCCGCTTAACCCTTCTGTGCCTCAATCTACTCATCTGTTAAATGGGTTGGCAGGTGAGGCCTGGCACATAGTACATGCTTGGTACAGACCTGGCTGGCTCCCACCTTCTGCGCCTGACATTGACCTCACAGCCTTTTCCTCTGCTCCTGGGGGAAGTCTTTCCTGAAGGCGGTGCATGCAGGTACCACAGAGAACTCAGAGCATCCTCTAACACCTTCTCTAACTTTGAACAACTGGACTGTGCTGTGTACTTTCACTCCTGTGACTGGCTTCTGTCCCCTCACCCGGTGTTGGAGATTCGACTGTGTGGATATGGGAGCTTGCTCACTGAACTGCTGTCCAGGCCACACTGGATGCTTAGGGTTGCCTTCTATCTGCCTTGCCAGTCACCAAAAGGCAGCTCAGCCTGTCTCTGGAGACCTGCTGGCCTGCTGATCTGCTGGTCTCTTTTCAAAATGTCAGGTCCCGGGAGCTCAG